AAATCAGACAAACAACTCCTTGCTAATTTAGTTGCACTTTTTAACAACATATAATAGCGGAAAAATTCCGGAAAGACTGTCTGCAGTCGAAATTTATGAAAATCTCGAAGAAATCAAATGCCCAGCTCTGTGTTTACCACCGACTTATAAGCTTGATCATCACATATGTATTTGTGCTTTATGGATTTTAGAAAAGCATTTGACAACGTCAATTATGAACAACTAATAATATTAGTTCACTCTGAAAGTGAATATAAAAATGAATCCTCCCCCAAAATATTCTTCTTCAAAATATCTTCTTAAAGATAATTCACTCAAGAATATACAAACAGATGTAAAAGAGACATTAGCCTCACACAGTTCGGTTTCAGACAAGGATTTGGCACAAGAGAAGCACTTTATGTTTAACTGTCCTATTTTAGAAATGCAGAGATCAGCAAAAAATGTCTTCCTATGCTTTATAGATAACCAGAAAGCGTTCGATTGTGTTAATCATTCAGAATTAGTAAGATTGCTCCAGGAACGTTCGATAGATGAGAATGACCTTAAAATCGTAAAGAACCTTTATATGAATCAAGTGGCATCTGTGAGAGTAGGACTGGAATCTACATCATATTTCTCAATCGAAAAAGGTGTAACGACAGAGTTGTGTTTTGTCACCCCTCCTTTTTAATCTCTACTCTGAACCGATTTTTCGATAGAGCCTTAAGTGACACTGATGATGGAATCAAAATCAACGGACAGACTATTAGTAATCTTCGCTATGCTGATGATACGTTCATAAATAGCTGATAGCCAAGAAGAGCTACAACGACTAATAGATAGAAAAAACACTGAATAAGAACGACTGGGCTTGAAGATTAATATAGACAAGACGAAGGTAATGGTGGATTAGTAGAAACGAATAATGCAATTAAATATAAGAAGTAAATAATAAGAAACATCCAAAAGGTCCCCAATATCAGATATCTCGGTAGTTGGATAACTGAAGATCTAGATCCAGACATCGAGATACGTAAGCAGGATTGGGCAAGCCAGAACAGCATTTACTAATATGAGAACCTTGCTAAGCTACAGCAGCCTTAAATACCGATACCGAATTCGATACCGCTTTGTTAAATGTTACATTTATCCATACAGCTATACGGTGTAGAAACCAGGACCATAAAGGCCAATGTGATGAACCGATTGGAGGCCTTTGAAATTTGAATATTTAGAAGGACTACTTTAAATACCCTGGACAGATCACACAACAAATGTCGAAGTATTAAATCGAATGGGCAGAGAACGAGAATTGCTTGCCAATAATTAAAAAGTAGAAAAACTGCTTATCTGGGTCATATATTTCGAAATTCCAAGTACCAGTCCTTAAAGCTTATTATGAAAGCTTTTTAGAGCCACACAAGATCGAGAGGAGTATGCTAGAATTGTCGCCAAAATCCACTAATTGGATAGGGCACCATAAGAATAAGAAGAAGTATTTTTAACTTTTATGATTTTTACGTTTCTAATTACATTAATTTTCTAGCAAAAAATACTTTAATAAAAATACTTTATAAAATCGTTGATTCACACAAAAGCAAAGTAACGATTGAGATTTTTTAGAAAGAAAAAACGGTAAGCAGTCTAATTTTTTTGTCAATCTAAAAAGGATGAAACACAGTGGCGGCCGGTCCCTGCCGACCCTGCCGACCCACATCTTTATAGATATTATAGATTATTTTAATATTTAATTTAATCAGTATTTCAATAAATAATTGTGGCAGGTAATCAGTTGATGTCATTTGTTTTTGTGAACTAAAAAATATCTGCGAGATAATAAAGACTAAATTTTATTCATGGTTTTAAAAGAATTCGACCAGATAAATTTTATTCATGGTTTTTTAAAGAATTCATCCAATCTGAGCGTTAAGTGATCCTTGCGTAGACACTTTTCAAATAAATGTTCCGATATCGGAGACATCCATCCGCCTATGAATTCTTAAAAAGGCACGTTTTTGTTTTTTCGGCTAGCCGATCCCAACCTTGATTTTACTTGTAAAAATCTACGGTATATTGGTTTATTAGCAACTAAATATACATTTCTTTCCATATATGAACTTAATTACTAAGTCCGGCAAATTTAAATTTGCCGATGTTTCATTTGGATTGGTGATTGGTCGCGTAACTGTACATTGCGAGCGTGGGACGAAATGTTATTTCATTTTCATATATGTAGTAAACTGAAGTGATATTCAGTGCACGAATAGCCTATCTTTTTGTGATTTATTTATATTTTCTAAATTAATACTGTGATACGTTAACGTCTGCCGTAAATAGTTAACGGTTAAAGGGTTTTTTTGACATATTAGAAGTTTTTTTTAAATTAAAGTGTAAACAAATTCAGTAACACCTAAAAAATGCAAGCCATGGGAGAATCTGTAAGTATGATAAGTCTGATATTGTAAATTATATTTTGCATAATGGGTTTTCATCAATTCCATACGAAGAACAAATTGTTATTAAAAATAAGGGGCGTCCTTTGCACTAAAATGTCCCGACTTATAAATATTAGTGCGGGTAAGGGAAGTAATAGATCATTTTCAGATAATTGGTACAGCAAGTACTCATGTGGCTTACTGGGAGTGAAATAAAAAAACAAACTTTTTTGTTGGCCTTGCATTTTTAGTTTCGACAAATAGGGGCAAACATCAAAAATCCGTGGTGTGAATCTGGTTACGATAATTGAAAGGAATTATTTAGGGCTTTACATAAACATGTTATTTCGAAATGATCATCGTACAGCCAGATTAAATTATGATTTATTTGGAAAACAAAATATCCATGTTTCATTAGATAATGCCCAACCTGAAAATGCTATTAAACATAACGAAATTGTAAAAAATATTTAAACGGACTAATGTTTTAGAACGGTTTGTTTCGAAAAAAATGCCAACAGTTTGTCAGACGCGATGGAATTTTAAATCTCGGTATAGTTTTCACTGTAGCAGATTTTCGTGAACAGCTTTTGAAAGTTTTTGATTTTATTATTGAATGTGACGATTTTGAAAATGATGATATATCGATCCATAAAGCAATCGGTTTGAAAACTTTATTAAATGATTACTCTTTTAACATACTTTTAAATATTTTTAAGAAAGTGTTTACCCCAAACCGATTTGATATTCAATGTTGTTCAAAATCAGTTAACTGACATTATTCATTCCAAAAATAGAATAACAAGACTGGTGCAAAATCTCAGTCAGATTTTCGTAATGATAGTAATTTCCAGGATATACGCAGTGACGTTTTGGACTCGCTTGATATTTCCGAATCCCCCCAAAAAAAGACAAAGGCATGACAAAGAAACAGATCTCGAAAAACGAGTATATTTTAACATTTTGGATACTATTATTATGCAAATAGATACTCGTTTTTCGAATTATGAAGATTTGCAAATCTTTGACCTCTTTGACGATTCAAAATTTAAAAGTTACGCCAAAGAATTTCCAAGATATTTATTAGACAGGTTGATTAAAAATTATCCATCATTCTTTAATAAAATAAAATTAGAAAATGAATTAAAAGTTTTATATGCTGATCCAAATATTTTCGGAAGATGGGATAAGTTACAAGATATATGTATTTATATATTTCAATTCATTACAACAAACTGTTTACCGGAAATTAATAAATTATTTATTGAGAAATTATAAAGTTCTTGAACAAAAATGGAGATTTGATGAACAAATGAAACACGTGTTTACTCTATGACTGTAATTTTTGCTACTACCCTAAAAAAGGAAGTGATACATTATTCAACTAGTAAAGTAGCCAATAGATGACACTGCTATGAAAATATTCAAATTTATTTATCTATATCCAACATTATTGTCATTAATTCTCTCTTACCACCACGTCTGCCTCAAATGAACGAGATTTCTCTTGCCTCAAAAGAATCAAAAATTATTGTCGAAAATACCATGAAACAAGAGAGAATGTCAAGCTTGTCTCAAATGTCAATAGAAAAAAAAACTTTTAAAATCTCTTCAAAACTCTAATAAATTTTACGATGACGTTATTACCCATTTTGCTACTTCCAAACAACGTAGACTAGAGTTAATTTATAAACATGTTTAGGTTCTAAATTAAAGGAAAAAAACAAAAAAAAAACAAAAAAACAAGAAAACAAAAAATCTCCTATGATGATTGAAGTCTTTGTTGGACGGTATACCTATCTGTGGAGACAAAAAATACCTTGCCGACCTTGTCTCTCAAGCCACGAGCCGCCACTGATGAAACATAAATATAAAAAATATAAATTTTTTCACATTGTCGCATTTGGTGATCTAGGAAGGTTCTGTATATCTAAAAACAGTTATTTGCTCTCCTGAAAAGTACCACTTATCACATTCGATAGTTGGAAATGGTAGGGACGACATCATGAGGAACAGCGATGCATATGGGTTGCTGCAATTAATTTTATAAAGAAAAATAAAAGGAAAACGTGGACCAGGAAGGCGAAGGATTTCCTGGCTGAAAAATCCACGTACGTGGTTCAACACAACAACCACAAATCTTTTCAGAGTTTGCAAAATATAAATTGTAATGATGGTAGCCAACATCCAAAACAGATAAGTACTACAAGAAGAAAAAAAACAACGTCTGATACAGAATGAAATAAAAATAGTTGTGTCGTTAATAACATCTGATTTTGTTTTAAAAATCGTGTACACCTTATAACTAAATTCAAATTAAGAAAGAACCCGCCACCTACGTAAATCAAGTAAGAAATAATATATTCACAAAAGACAGTGTTGAAATAAGGTAAAAAGTTGTAAGTAAGCCCGTAGTTTTCATTGTTAAATCATCTGATTGTCAAAGAAAAGCTAATTTAGTGTATTAAGAATAAAAACAGTGAGTGAGGTTAAGTCAAATCAGTGGCATACCATGCACTTCGGCGAAAACAAATAAAACAATACCCTATTTTTCCACTGTTCGTACGTATTAACAACTCTAACTTTATGCGGCACCTTGTTTTGGTCCAAGCTGGCCATCTCCAGGTCGTTCCCGCCGTCCAAGTCCATGAGGGAATGGTACACGGTGTTCCTCGACAAGCTAAGATACCTTCTTTTTCCGTGTGCGGAATTAACGGACACTGTATCGAAGAAATCATCGTCATCTTCCATCACTTGGTATCATCTAAAACAGAAACTCGTGTGAACAGCGCACTCTTTCATACAACCGCGTTCGGTGAGAGTGAGGATACCTATATGGTGTATTTAACATTTAACAGTCGGCAAATTAAGTTCGTTACATCATTTGTTAAATATATAAAGAGTTTGTGTATTATTCAAGGTAACGGAAACGAGTTCTTGTTCTACGAGGGCCAGCTGAAGAGTCGTTAAAATTCACTTACATTACCTAATTAGTTTTAAGTAATAAAACTGTTATATTTCTGAATATAAAGCTATAATTAATAAATAACTGGTTTACTTTAAGAATATAACCTACAACGTCAACAAATCGATTTTACTTTTTTTGGTTGTTTTATTTTGGCCACCACTAATACCGCATTTCTAGATCTTATCTTCTTGCTATCGCAAGTGTGACGATACTGGAGTAGAGATGTGTAGTTCACCATCGAAATAGTTCTAATGAACGATTCTTTCAACTGAACTAATTGAACTAGTTCATTAATTTTCATAGAACTAGTTCACTGCGAACGATTTGCATTATAAATTATGTCTCGACTAAAGAAAGAAAATAATGAATGAATGAATTAGAACATATATTTATAATTTTGTGAATGGATGGACTAACTAGTTTAAAAAAATGCCGATTAGCCTCAGATAATAGATTCATAATTCTTATGAATGTGACAATACCATAAGGTCTTATCTTAATGTCATAATGGTTTGGATCTTATGCCCATGTATTGGCTTGGATGTTGCCATGCTGTGTTGTTTCTTGTATTGTAATTTTGAAATAAAAATTTTGTTGTGGTTAAAATGATTGAGGCATTCACATAAAATATAATTTTATGTAAAATTGAGAATGAAAATGTGTATTTAATGTTCCAAGAAACTTCACTGATTTTTTTTTGTAAAGGTTCTTTATGAAATAACCTAATTATAAATACCTTATGTTTAAATATACGTAAATATAAAAAATAATCATACTTGAACCATATTATATTTAAAACGGTTAATAAAAAACAAATTTAATAATTTTTTTGCAAATAAAAACTAACTAATCATATAATAATTTAAACCATTTAAACCTAAACATACGATTGAAAGAAATAGTTCCGAACTACTTGTACGGTAGTGAACTAGTGAAAGGAAAGACTGACTGAACAACCGAAGTAAACGGGCGGCCAGCGCCGAGCTTGTGTGATGATTGAGACGAGACATGTGGCAACCAGTTCTGTTAGGGTTGGATTTCGATGTCGTCTACAATAGTTCTCTTCGCGAACTAGTTTACTGCACTAGCTCATTTTGTGAAATAGTTCTGTTGAACTAGTTCGTCTAAAAGAACTAATAAGCACACCTATACTGGAGCCTCATCTACCTTATACTATTTGGTAGAGTGATCCTAAAAATTTTACAAGTGAATAATAAAGTTCTAATTCCACATCAGATATGTTCCTGTTAACTTCCTGTTTGAAGTCTAGAATACAATAGTTTGATAAAAATTAAATACTGTTTAAAATGTGTGCTAAAAAATAAATATTATGACAGTTGGCCGATATTACACTAGAGGCTAATTGAGATATGTATTTGCAAAACAACCAATCTCCACCCTGGCAAAATTGCCGTAAATCGTAATTTTTTACCGTGAATATATTTGCAAAACCTGGAGCCACAAAATTCGTTATCCATAAACTTTATTATATTTAATTACTATTATTATATTACAAATAAGGGCAGAGGAGCGAGCTCCTATTATGCCCAAAAAGCAAAAAAAAAACAAAAATAAAAATATCCTTATAAAACTAATACCAATTATAAAGTTAAGTTAAACAATTAAATATAAATGGGCGGGCATGTTTTCGACGCTGAAGTACCTGAGGGTCTTAAAAGTACCCTTGTTTTGGACGCTGCCGAAAGGATTATCGCAGGTACCGGATATTAGATATAATTAGGGTTTAATGATGGTCATTGAAATTTACTTAGTTACTAGTTATTAGTTTGTCAGAGAATCAGTGAAAAGTGAACAAGGAAATTTCAACGTTAGTAAGTAATCGTGGTAAAATTTTGCTCAAAGTGAACAGTTTTACTTTTTCTAAAGATAATAGTAAAAAATCGGGAGAAACGTCTTGGAGGTGCGTAAAACGGTCGTGTAAAGCGAAGATATTCACGAAAGGGCCAGAAAAGTTAGTGATCCGAAGTAATCTAGAACATAATCACGAGTTGTGATATCAAGACGCTTAATAGACAGATTGTGCGTAGCAGTGCCAAAAGGAAGGCTAAGGATAATTTGACCGAAAGGCGTCCAAAATCATACATAGTGCGTTGAAAGAAAATGTAGATTGCTTGAGCCACATGTCTGTTTAAAGACGTTAATTTAATACGAAATCAAATATACAGTGAACGGCGAATGGCTCAACAGAAACTGCCCAAAAGTAAAGAAGAAACTATTGCTGCGGTAATATTATGAATATCAAAACACTTAAGACGAGAATGTTATATTTGCGGTTGAACTAAGTTCTAACATTATCATCTTCTCTGTGTAACACTAACATGCGTTTTTTGTGCGGCAGTGAAACGATTTATATGGACGGTACATTTAGTTACTGTGCTCAATATTTCAAGCAATTTTTACCATACATGTATTTATCAATGGATATTATATACCATTGTGTTACTGTTTACTTCCCGACAAATCGGAACAAACCTATAATAAAATTATATAATGTTTTGAAACGCAAATGTGAAGTAATTGGTCTAAAATTCAATCCAAAAATCATTTTCTATGATTTTGAAATTGCTATCCACAATGCTGCGCGTTTTGAATTTCCAAATGTGCACATTAAAGGGTGCCCGTTTTCATCTTTATGCAAGTTTTTTAGATAGACAGTGAAATATCTAAATGGCTGAAATATATTTTTGGGCTGCCATTTTTACCTCCCTCAGAAGTGTAAGAATCTTTCATATATGATTTTATGGCTATTCAACCAAAGGATTCAAAAATTGAAAAGTTTTCCGATACTTATTGGACAATACATTGGCGACCACGCAACATTTCCGTCGGAGATGTGGGCTGCGATGAGTGAGAGTTTACAATTAACAACTAATGCTTGTGAATCGTTCCACTCGCGTTTTAATGATAATTTTTACCATGCTCATCCAAATATTTTCCATTTTAATTGATGTTTTAAAAAATTTTCAAACTGAAACTTACATTAAAATTAATAGTGTCTGTAATAGTGAAAGTAATAGACTTAAAGATCCAAAGAGTAGAAAAAAAATTATGTTCGTTAGAAATAGGATACATGAGTATCAAACTAACTGTATCGATCGATTCCATTTCGTAAAATGTATGTCGTATTTATTTCAAAGTGACAAATAAACCTTATCAAGCTTAATCTCTAGAATTTTATTACCTGACTTTCCATTGACATTTCAATTACACCCAGCGTCCAAATCATGTATGCAGAAACCGGTAATTTTATTATTTTTCAGTGTCGAATTTTAAATTTAGCGTCCAAATCATGCACGCCCAAATATATCATACAAAAATTGAATTGTGAGACAGTAAATAAATAAATATATTACAGTGAATGAAGGTAAAAATCTACTATTATCTTCGATTTCGGTGAACCTCCATCTATCGATTTGCATGAAAATTTGGGATTGAGTATATTTTACCCTCAACTTCAAAAGTGACATATGCTCCACTTGCGCTTTTTGCATTTTAGGGCTGAAATCCACCCCTTTTGTTAAAATGGTAAAAAATGCAGATTTAAACATTCTGGCATAAGTAATCTTGATTAAATAAATAAATAATTATTTTGCAACATTTATAAGCATGAATTATAATTTTAATTAATTTTTTCAACCCTTTTAGCAACTATTTCTTAAATCGAACATCATGAAAAAAATCCTTTTTTATATTTCTGAAATATCAAATCGCATATTAATATTACCCAAACAGTCTCTTTAATGTTTATGATATAATTTTAATTGACTGTGAAATTTCAACCCTTAAAAACCACCCCTAAAGCAGAATCATTGAAAAAATTTAATTTTAAGAACTTTAATTATTTGAATAATACATTACTGAATTGAAATCTCATTTACTGAGTACTAAAGTATTTATTTATTTATTGCGTAATTTTGCACTGTTAAAAACTACCCCTTGTCATAAAAATAATGGAAAATGTTTTTTATTAGCTCTAATAGCTTTAATCATTTAGAAACTTTTTATTGTTATGATAAACTTTATTGATGCAAGATTTTATATTTTTTGCATATTCCAAACTTTATTAATATTATTCTTTCCACATTTCCATGAACAATTCTTTCAGTGCTTATGTAATTATAAAAATTTAATTTGTTAGTTAAGAGGAAAACGTATTAAAATAAATATTCAAATATATGAAAAGTTCATTCATTTTTTATTTAAGTAATGTTTCATAAATTAATCAAATATTAATAGTACTTTAATTGTTAATTTTTCACTCTTCATCAGAGCTCTCTTCATCAATTTCTACTTTTTCATTAATTGGAGGGCTATTTTGGCCCCACTGTATGATCCGCAGATTGCATTGCAAAATAACCCTACTCTTCGACACCAGCAAGAAGCGTCGCACCCTTTTTTTGCAGTTGCAAAAAATCATTTTTTAACAATTCTTCTGGAGCCGGTGAATTGGGATTTTTAGTTGGAAACAAAGACTCTTCAATTTTGCACCATCCCCAGTTAACTGGACGAATGTCTTTGTTTTTCAGAGATGAAAACTTTACTGTACTATTTTTGGTGGTAGCCTTAATAAAGGACTCGTTACGCATCTGTTCCAGAATCGCTGATAGGTCTTGATGCGTTGTAGTTTACATCTTTTGCACTTCCGTACAACAATATTGTGTAGTACCTGCCAGCTTCTAAAATAGCATCGATATCAGCGGCTTTATCATAAAATGTATCGATATACAGTCAAAATCGTTTATAACGAACTTCAGGGGACTCGTGGTTTTTGTACG